TTAAACTGAGATTGATTCTATATCGAATAAAAATTTGACAAACTGAACAAATTCTAGTGTTTGTAAGCAAATTTTGTTTTGTTGTTTTTGGTATACAATTTCAACATAAAAGTATTGTTCAAAAGTATTATAAACGAAAACTAAAATCTAATTTTAGGTTCGATCCCTGGTAAAAAAAAAGAGTGGCGGTGGTCAAAAGAAGTAAACTTTGTTTCAAGTCGATTGGTCGATTATTTTTTGAGTTATCCAGCCCGCCAATTTAGAAAAAAAACAACACGGTATCGAGAAAAACGAGTTAAAAGTTTTCAGTAAATTCTTTCTAATTTTTCTCTAGCTCGTAAACAAAAGTGGACAATTTCGGAAGAGAAGATACGATCATTCGAGCCTTGCGCCTCGTTTTTACAATTATCGACAATCGGCAACCATAAAAACAAGCCTCGAGGTCCGAACAATCGTACTTCCGTTTCTCAAATTGTTCATTTTTGTTTACAAGCCGAAGGAACATTGGGCAGAATTTACTGCACCAACAGTTTAAAATTCGATATAAAAATTTGGTCCGCTATTCCAGCACCATGGAGTAAAAAATTGCGACTAAAAAATTTACAGGGCACATTTCTGACACATCTCGCACCGATGATTTATGCGAACAAGAAGAAATCAATTTTTTCAGACCCGCTGCACGAGAATTCCCCGTCAATTTGAAAACAGCTAATTGTTTAAAATCGTCCGAACCGGCGCAATTTTGGCCGCGCCGGGCAGGACGCGCGTCAAAATTTGAAGTATTGGACGCAGCGGAACGCGTTTTTATGCACGTTTCGTCGGCGGATCGACGACGGTCCACGGAACAATCGGATGCGGATGATTATTGCGCGGACGATTGTTATACGTATAGTAACGAATCGGTCGGCGCGGGCGCCGGCTGTCGTCCGAGCAGATTGCGAGCACCTGTCTCACAGAAAATATCCACCGGTGGCTACTCAAACGGCGAGGCTGCCCCGCGGCAGAAGGTTTGTCAGCTGCGCCAGCAGCTGAAGTAACCGATCGCAGTCCATCGGACTGAGATGACGCTGCGCGGATCGAAAAAATTCAGCTTTCGATCGGTCCTGGCGTGTCCCCGTAGTCTCGAACGCTCGTGGACCGTGCGCCTTCCACTCGGAGACTCTCGAGTTTCACGAACGGCTGCTGCTGCTGCTGCTGCTCCCCTCGCGATCCACAGATTTTTCAATCTGTCGGTAGCCCCTAGGTGTACTTCTCGCCTATGGATAACGTTTCATCGACGATCCTCTCTAGCTGGAACCTGGAACTAACGCGATCGTCCAAATCAAAGGTCGCTGGGCCGAATCGACTCCACATGCTGGCCGAGGCATCCCGTCCCTAGGAATTTTGTTTCCGTGTCGCGCAATTTACTAGGAATTTTTATATGAAACCTGAACGCTTTCCCTCTGTCGCGGCTGTCGTATGACGCCGGGGTCCGTTGGAATTTTAAATATAAATTTTCTGTATCGATGCCGGTAGAACTCCGATCGTCCGGGTATTTGAACATGCCGGTAGCTCTCGGTGGTCGAAGATGATCATCGTCTGACGCGAGAAATTCGGCATTGGTCCACAGAAATCGACGGGTTATCGGTGAAACGGAATCTTCTGGATGAACAATCGATCTGAAAATAATTTGAAGGTTCATTGATAAACTTTGTTTCTTAGAGATACAGTAAGTTCTTCCTGACTTGTGCTCAGATTTAGCACAAAAATGGTGAATTTGGGAAGTGGAGATATGATTTTTCATTTTTCAATTAATTTTTATCGTAATAAACGAATTGAATGTTACTAGGATTTTTATAATACGAAAGAGTTAAAGAAATATATTTTGCGGTGAATTTTAACTTGCTAGGTTCGGTTTCATTAATTAACCCTTGGTAAATAGACAATTTGGGAAGAGGAGGACTCGTTTTTATAGTTGTCGACAATCGGTAACTTCTCTTCCCAAATTGTCCATTTTTTGTGTACAGTAATTTCTCCCTAATTCGCGCTCGGATTGCGCACAAAAATGGACAATTTGGGAAGAGGAGACATGATTTTTCATCTTTGAATTCATTTTTATTGTAATATACGAATTGAATGTTACTAGAATTTTTATAATACGAAAAAGTTAAACTAATATTTCTTACGGTGAATTTCAACTTGCTAGTTTTGGTTTCATTAATTAACCCTTGGTAAATAGACAATTTGGGAAGAGAAGGACTCGTTTTTATAATCGTTGACAATCGGCGACTTCTCTTTCCAAATAGTCCCTTTTTTGTGTACAATAATTTCTCCTTAATTCGCGCTCGGATTGCGCACAAAAACGGATAATTTGGGAAGAGGAGATATGATTATACTAGCATCGCGGCTCATTTTTATAGTTACTAATTGTCAACAACTATAAAAACGAGCCCTCCTCTTCCTAAATTGTCCATGTACCGAGGGTTAATTAATGAAACCGAAACTAACAAGTTAAAATTTACCGTAAGAAATATTAACTTAACTTTTTCATATTATAAAAATCCTAATAACATTCAGTTCATTCAACGTATTACAATAAAAATGTAATCTGAGCGTCGATTAGGGAGAATTTACTGTAATATGAAAAATCAAGATCCCTTCGGAGAGATATTTTTAAAAAGAATCGTATTGAATCCGTTTTATTGCAAAGTTCCAAATTGTTCAGGGATCTTCGCGTTGCCGAATTCGCATCGTACGAATCGATGCTGCGGAGAATGATAGCGAAAACTGTGACAACGACGGCGTAGGGTTCGGTGTCACGACGCGTCGTTGCGCGGCCGATATAATTTTACGGCGCGTGTCCGGCTCGGGTTTCCGAAACACCTCCTCAAAAATCCAGGCTTTTTTACGGGGTCGAGGAACGTGTGCAGGTTGGTCTCGAGTTCCTCGTTCGATCGCTCGGAAAAGTTTCGAACGGGTCTCGCCTGACACTTTGTGCGCGCCCGCTAAACTCTTCTACGAAAACAACATTCTTCGGGCGATTAGTTACAGAAGATGATCGGGAGCAATTCTAATCGGGAGGTTCGGCAACGTGGCGTTCGATGGGCTAAGTATCAACCTGTTAATTGAGCTGTTTATTTTGAAAGTGGCGTAAGTCACTTTTTCAAAAAAATCGAGTTAATGGTAACACTAATTACAATTGAACGGTATCTTTTCATTTTTTAAAAATTTGCGATCAATAAGTTGAGAACTATTGAGATTTGTTCGAGAGAAGTTTTGCTAATTAATGGTATAACAAACATGTTTATTTTGAAAGTGGCGTAAGTCGCTGTACTCAGGAAATTAATTGCGGGGCTTAGTGTAAAAGAAATAGAAACGTGTGATAAGTGTGTGTGAAGTATTGTTTTGAATTATTTTCAGTATTTTTAAAAAAGTTGTGTGATCACTGACTTATTTTTATAAGTGCGAAAGAATAGTGCAGTTTTGTAAATTATATTATATAATATATATATTATATATTATATTATGTTATACGTTGGATCTCGTCCAGTTTCTTCAGCAAAATACAAAGACACGATGGACTTGCTTAATTATATACCCCCCACTATACTACAGTTATTTTAAAAATTTGAAACAAAACACGATTTCCGAGGACTTAATCACTCCTATTGATGACGAAAATTAAATTGAACTGATGTATTTTCATATAAATTACTTATACTTATGTTTCAAAATGTACTAATTATTTTTGTATTTTATGAATATTAAAATAAAAAATACTTAAATCAAACCTTTATATTAAATATGTTCATGGTATAAATTATTATTATATATGTAATTCATTCAACAATTTTAGTAAATCACTGTCCTTTCTCTCACAAAACATCACTTCGGTAAAATACGTTGGACAAAATTAATATATGTCAGTCATTTTTCTAAACTATTTATTTTGAAAGTGGCTAAGTCACTTTACCGTAATGAAAAGTGGTGATTTTTTAATGTTTATACGAAATTATTTATACTGAGAAAAATATCAGTATCCTGAGATAACAAATACAAGTAAATCTTCTCGAAAGTTAGCATCCATATTTTTAAACGTGTAATGCCACTTTCAAAATAAACGGCTCAATTGGTCAGTCTTGTTTGCGATAACGCTTAATTTTCTCTGATAATTCAACGAACAATTTTGGGAGTGCGACTTCTTCTTTACAACGATCTTCTACAATTTATTGCACCATTTTTTTTTAATAAAAAAGTATAAAAAAAGTTAATAATAAAATTCAAATAAAAAAGTAACATTTTGCAAAAATTTGACATAAGAGATAAATTATTTATGGAATTATTTAAATGATCTTTTAATTAAACGAAACGTTTAATTACTATTTGCAAAGGAGACATTAACTGATTTTATAATTTGTCAGTTATAATTACTAGACCACGGATTTCATGCATTTATAATAAAACCGAGCGGGTGAAATGCAAAACAATGACACTATTAGACAAATTTAATCACCCGATTGCATTGTTCATAAATTCATTCATAACTCTCAAATGATTCAAGACGACAATAAATATTTATGCGAGTCTCGTTTCTTATTTTGCACGAAGATCCGCAATTTATTTATTATTACAGAGCGTACATGTTCTACCCTGGAATGCACAAATATGTTAAGATTGCTACTTGATCTGATTATTTGGTCCGGCGCAGTACTTCGGAGACCATAAGGAGGGTCATAAGCAGCTCGGTAAGAAAGTCAATAAAAGAAGGCTTAATTCAAGGGTCCGAGGGGACCCAGCTGCGGTCGGGCGAGTGTTAACAGGTCAAAAAGCGGATCGGGATCGGCCGGGTCATCGACCACCGTAAAAATCGCAAGGGTGCCGAATCGGTGGCAGAAAAATTACTCCGCCGTGCGTGCGTGTGCGTGTGCCGCAGGTGGTGGGGGGCGAGCCACGTGACCGAGCGCGTGTTCAACAATAACAGCTGCACTGTTGCACTTCCCTCAATTCACGTTCAGCCTCCACCGAAGCAGGACCTCTGCTCGGCGAAGTCCTCCTCGTGTTCTCTATCGACTCAATTTTTCGTTCAACCTATACACGTTTGCCATTCCTCCCGGTGTTCGCCAATTGTCGTGCGTCGTGCCGTATCGTGAGATCGTAGATCATAGATACAGATCGTAGATCGTGAATCGTTTAGTGATTAAACGAGCCACCGGGTGTCGAACGGATTCTTTCGCGTCTCGCTGACTGATTTCGGTGATCGACAGTGCACTGAGATTTCGGGGGATGCTTTAAGGGTGCTACCACCCTCCGACAGTGTCAAGAAAGCATTGCGAAGAAGAAGGTGTCGGAGATGATTCCTGCGCGAGGATTAATCTTCGTCGCCCTGGGCGCTTGTTTCCTGGCCGCTATTATCGAGGTAAGAAAATTCGACGTTTCTAAGGGTGGAATTTATGCGATTTTGGAGACTAAAGTGTCTCTGATTGTCTGGAATTGAAGATAGTTAGCTATTCGACTATTCCGTTCCTTTCCTTACGTCATCTGCGCTTTCGGTATTGAGCATTTTCTGCAGAAATTATGGTAACGATTGCCACTGAATCCAAAGAATTTCTTGATCGCTCGCGAAATGCCGGCGAAGTAAAAATAGTCAAAACTTGACAGTTAAAACTTTCATTTCTTCTCTGTTTTTTTAAAATAATAACCGCTGTATACAAAAGTTCTCGCGTAAACAGTCCGGACCGTATTAAGTTAACCAGTGACACAAAAATATTAGACACACCGAATGCACTCAGCAATCGTCAAAAAAAATGTGTCGAGCGCTATGACAGAGCTTTTCACCCTTCGCGATTCCGTTCACGAAGATCGTCGCGGCTTAACGATCCGTGTAAAAGCGTGCGAATCCACTTCACTGCGCTGTTCGACCAAGATAAAGCAGAATATCGGAGACAATTTACTACATCTTCCAAGAAGATGTTCGCTTTTACACCTAGCGCGGCGAGAACTTTGCATCCGAAACAGGATGAATTGCGCAAGGAGCGGCCTTCTTGAACGGAGGAAACCATAATTCCCGGCAATTACGCCAGCGAATATTTCTACGGGAAGCTGTCGTTGCGATTGGCAGCTTTCTCGCTCGATAATTAGAAATGTATAATACGACGGTTCGATTTGAAAGGGTCGGCTAGAGTCGGATTTATAACGGACTCCCGGAAGCGCCGGAATCGTGGAAAAATAATTTCCATAAAATCCGGCATCCCGGCTTAAAGGTTCTCGACTTTCCATTCTCTGGCCGAGAGGAGCAGGTGCGACTAAAAAAGATGCGCTACTCGAGTGCAGCTCGCTCGACGCGGAACTCCCTTTTCGTTTTTTGTGTTTGAAGCTCCCCTGCCGGGTTATCTGGGACACGACCATACTCGGCCGTCATTGTTGTTCGGGGCACTTCGCGTCCCTTGAACCGTTCGTGAGATAAAGGCCACTCGTTTAGCGAAGCGAAAAGACGGGCCATCTTTGTGTCCCGGTCAACAGCTAAGACACACGGTCCGAAGCGTATGTCGCAGGCGAGGCCGGCGAATCGGCCGGAAGTCGCCGTTCTTCGGCAGGCTCCCGGACTCGCGACAGCGCGGAAAGGAGCAGGCGGAGCGGATGTGTGCACAGTTCCCGCGGAGTTTCTCGGCTCGCGACTCGTTAATTTCGGGGCGGCTCATTAACGGGCATCGGTGCGCCCGAGCGACTCGCAAAAGCGACTTTGAAAACCCGTCGAGCACCGTTACAGTTTTCAACGGCGGCGCGGCCGGCTTTCTGGCCACCCCCGTCGCACGTCTTACCGGAATAACGAGCTCGGACCCTCGTCCTTCTTCTCATTGTCTGTTCCCGCGGCACCGTACCCCGCACGGTTTCCACGGTTTCACCGTTCTCCGGCGCCGCATGCGGCGGAAACGCAGCCGAGCCTCGCGTTTGTTTCGGTCCCTTTCGGAATGAATTTTCCTTGTACACCGGGCGACAAAAACCTGCCACGTCCCTTTTAACCTTTTAACGAAGAATCACGAGTGTCGGCTCGCCGGTGTTCGTTATCCCGTGGGATCCTCGCGCGTTCACGGCGCACGCGGATTTCCACAATGCAGCAATTTCTTTCCATTCAGGTCGCGATCCTTTTGATCAGCGAGACAGATACACATTTTTTCTCTCGTTATGGGTCTCATTAAGTTGAACACGCAGGTTCTTTTGATCAGTATGCATGTCGCAATTGACATCGAGGACGCAGTGACTCCAGTTTGAGAATTAAACGTTCATTGGTCGCGTTGTTTAACATTAGATTTACGAAGCAAAAAAGGAACAGTTGTTTTATATTAGTTTATAAAAGTAACAATAATGCATCCATTCTGATTTTTAGCAAGTGTTATTGTAACATTTGCCGTAAGTAACGTATAAATCGAACGAACAACTCATAAGTGTATCTTTACGGTGTGAATAATCGTAAATTAAAAAATTAGAGTCATCTTGACGGATTCCGTAAATCTAGTGTTAAGTCTGCAAGCACTGTAAGCGAAAAACTATCGTAAATTGCTTAAGAATATCAAAATATAGAAACTATAAGATAAATTTCATCTACTAATTTTCACAATAAATGCATACTGTCATTTTGACGGGTTCCGTAAATCTAGCGTTAACCACTTGCCGTATAATATCTTGTCGGTCTCGTTATTAAGATTTCGAACGTAATCCATTCGACGCGGCTGTTATTTATGCGTTTTAAATATAAATCAAATTTTAGCCTTCTACCATCAATATTTAACAAAGGTCAAACTTAAGACTTAGGCAATGCTCGGATGAATCACAATATCGCAGCAGTTTTTGAAACAAAAGCGTTTTAAATATAAATCAAATTTTAGCCTTCTACCATCAATATTTAACAAAGGTCAAACTTAAGACTTAGGCAATGCTCGGATGAATCACAATATCGCAGCAGTTTTTGAAACAAAAGCGTTTTAAATATAAATCAAATTTTAGCCTTCTACCATCAATATTTAACAAAGGTCAAACTTAAGACTTAGGCAATGCTCGGATGAATCACAATATCGCAGCAGTTTTTGAAACAAAAGCGTTTTAAATATAAATCAAATTCTACCCTTCTGCCATCAATATTTAACAACGGTCAAACTTAAGACTTAGGCAATGCTCGGATGAATCACAATATCGCAGCAGTTTTTGAAACAAAAGCGTTTTAAATATAAATCAAATTCTACCCTTCTGCCATCAATATTTAACAACGGTCAAACTTAAGACTTAGGCAATGCTCGGATGAATCACAATATCGGAGCAGTTTTTGAAACAAAAGCGTTTTAAATATAAATCAAATTCTACCCTTCTGCCATCAATATTTAACAACGGTCAAACTTAAGACTTAGGCAATGCTCGGATGAATCACAATATCGGAGCAGTTTTTGAAACAAAAGCGTTTTAAATATAAATCAAATTCTACCCTTCTACCATCAATATTTAACAACAGTCAAACTTAAGACACCGTATCGCCGGCAATGCTCGGACGAATCACGATATCGCAGCAGCTTCCAAAACAAAAGCTTCACGAAGCCAAAATGAATTTAATCCTCTTTCCCGTGCGAGACAACACGGTGAAAATAAAATTATCCTCTCGTCCCGTACGAATTTATTCGCGACGAGGAAGCGCCCCGTCGAGAAGTGGTAAAGGTAAATGTGGTTATCCGTATGAAAAATTCCGCGCATTCCGTCGCGAAAACTCGGCTGCATAGCATGATCTTCGGCTCGTTCAACGGTGAATAGCCGTAGCGAGCCCGGCCTGGCAAAAGTGAGTCGGAAATCCGCGTTTAAAAATTGACGATTGCAATTCCCACGGGCCGTGGGCTAGGGCCTAGACAAATGCGGCGCTCGCTTCAAATTTTCACCGTGTTCGGTTCGCCGGTGGAAACCGGGCAGGAAAACCGGCCTGGAAAATCGAGCCCGGTCGACGTGTTCCCCTGGCTGCCGCAAAAATTAATGAACCGAGCGAACCCGGAGCGACGCCGGCGCGGCCGAGTGGCGCGTCAGTTTCCATCGCGATTTCAATTCCCCTCGCGACGGGGGGCTCCGTCTCGGGAAAGTGGAACAAAACGTTCCCATTCCTCGGAAGATGTTACCTCCGGCGCGCACCGGAAGCCGGATATCCCCGAAGAAGCGCGTAGGCAGCGAGCGGTGGCTGACTCTCGTTGCGAACGGTAGCGGCGCGGCGCGGCGCGGTGGTGGGCCGAGGAGGCGCGTAGGTCGCGGCAGGGTCGGGGACTGGCGGATCTACCGACTCCCCGTTCCCATGGCATGCTAATGAGCCCCGCGAACCACGAAATACCCCAGTGAACTGAATAGCGAGAGCTGACAACATCTACGAGAACCCACGACGAACCCACGAGGAGCCCAGACCGCACGTCCCACCCCTCCCGGTCTATTCCTCGTGGGTCTGCTTTGACTTCGCTAACACCTGCGCCGAACCCTGTCGCCGATTCCGCAGCTGATTTTACGCTCTGCGTCGCCGCATCCAGTGGACCTCGCCGCGATCCGAGCGAAACCCTTGGAAAATGATCTGCGAATATGGTAAATTCTCCCTAAATCGCGCTCAGATTGTGCACAAAAATGGACAGTTTGGAAAGAGGAGATGTGCGATTATTCGAGCCTTGTAGCTCGTTCTTTCTTATATGTACCGATTGTTAACAACTATAAAATCGAGACACGAGGCTCGAATAATCGTATCTTCATTTCTCGAATTGTCCACTGTTGTGCACAAGCTGAGCGCGAATTAGGGAGAAATTACTGTAGACAATGTCTATTAGGTTTGCAAATAAGTCATTGCGTTTTTGGCAATTCATGGCAATACAGAAAAAACGCGACGATTTATTGGCCAAGTTAACAGTATTCTCAATGAACATTTCGTTCGCTGGTTCTCTAGATCCCAGCGGTTCACAGTGGATTATTTGAACCACCGTTCGCTTGGGGCAACACTGAAAAAATCCGATCGAATAGTCCTGGTCCTCTCCAATCAATCATTCTTTCTCAGCGGCGCTGCGAACAATTGCGAACGTCAAACGAAATTTTAAATAACAATTAACTTCGTTACGCGTCGCGAATTTCTGGCTCGTCCGAATTTAATTTTACTATTGGCTCTATTCTATTAATAAAGAAATCGATTAATTAATTAATTGAAATATCAACTTAACCTTTTAGGCACGACGCGCCACTATAGTGGCTTTCGCGGATGTCATCTCTCTGGACGACACGCCACTATAGCTGTCTCTTATACACATCTCGATGTGTATAAGAGACAGGACCAGGACTATTCGATCGAATTTTTTCAGTGTTGCCCCAAGCGCTGTCTCTTATACACATCTCGATGTGTATAAGAGACAGGACCAGGACTAT